ACTCCTCCCGACTCCTCTACTTTTGCCGCTTCGATCCCGCTCTCTCTCCGCGCGCACTGCCGAAAATAGCGACCGTGAACTTGCTCCGGCTTACTTGAATGAAGAGATGCGCGTTTGCGTGCGCGCGCGTTTCTCCGGCGTGTGCAAACAGAACACGAGGGAAAAAAAAAAACAAAATCTCGTGTGTGCGTAACTGTAACAAAAGTAATTTCCCCTCACAATTAGTTACAGAACGAGAGTAGTGATTTTATCATATATGTTTTTTTTTTTATTCGCGACAATTTGAAATAAAAACCAAAAGATCTGACTGCAACTTTAGTTTCGAAAACCAACAATGCCCATATTGTAAAAAAATACGTCGGTTTTAAAATAACGTTATTAAAAGAGCACTAGTGTATTTTTTCGTGAAAAAATCTACAATTTTTATTTAAAAGCGGATTTCATTTTCTTCCTCAAGCAGGAGCAGCTTATCAATCAACGCCGGATCTATAATTGTCGCGAATTAATTTATTCAGAATTAGAATCATGTTGATGCGCGCGCGCGCGCGATGACATTCCGTTGATGCGTACAACGGAAAACGGTCGTGAAATCCGGCGATAGAAAATTTCAGTGGCATCCAAACGACAAACGTCCGAGGCCATTCCGGACACGTTTCACTATCGCGTGTGTGTATATCCTTACCTCTCCTCCCTCCCCCCTCCGCTCTGCGTGTGTATAGCAGCGAGATACCGCAGTTTCTGACAATTGAAAAATGTCCAATAAACGCGGCGTTGACGATGGAGATGGGAAAAGTTTCGGAGCGCACGCATTGTTTACGCGACGCGTCGCAAGGACGACGCGGGAATTCCGCGAAATCCGGCAGATTGCACCGACCGTGTGTGTATGTGTGTACGCGAGTTGTAACGATACACGCGCGCGTACACGCATACATACATACATACATACACACACACACACACACACTGCCGCGTTATCATAACCTAGTGACGCCAAATATTGATTTTGACACGTACACGTGACGAAGCGTCCGACCGGCGTTGTAAATGCGCGCGTAACGTGTGTATACACACACGTACACGCACTTGCGCGTCCGGTCGCGCAATATATACATTTGGCGCGGGGGAGAACCGCTCCGACGCAACGTCGAATTTAGCAACACAACGCACGCATATGCACACGTGCGCACACACACACGTGTGTGCGCGCTGATCCGTCGCGAGCTCTCGAACTGCCACTTGCACGTATATACCGGGTGTTAAAGGAAGCGGCGCAGTTGCGCGCCGATAACGCGCGGGAGAAAGGACCGATTTCTCGAAACGCCCTTGGTACGTGTCCTACGTAAATATTGTGCGTACACCTCGCGAATATATATATATTCCTACCTGCGTTCGCTTAGAGAGAAAGATAGAGTTTGTCGTTATAAAATAAATTACGCGAGTATAATATTGTAAAAATCGACGTAAACAAAAATATCGTAGATTTAACGTGCTGTAACGAACAATAAACAGTAATAATTAGATTCGAGTATATTCGATTGTGCAGCAACAATTTTGTTTTGATATATTTCACGAGAATTATAAATTCATTGCGTATATATATTCTCGAAATGAATATCGCCAAGTGAAGCATTAGCGGATTAATTAGTTCGATCAGCAGTTACACAATTAAGGTCAGTTGTGTAACAAACTGTTGCGATTCTATCGACGAAAATTTATCACAGTTCCGTGTGTGTCGATATTTACCATCTATACGAACTGACATTAAATGCACATTCGAGATTCTCGTGGACGCGCATTGACGAAGAGAATTACGCCGTCCGAGCGCCTAATAATATCATCACGTTTCGATATCTGTTTGATAACGTCTGCGCGCGCGCGCCATTTTTTTTCTCTCTGCGCGCGATCTTAAACGAGAATCGACACGTAATATGAAGTATCGAGATTAAACGAATAAGTGTTTTTAAAACAAACTCCCTTTATAAACTTGTCGCAACGTTATTATAAGTCATTCATATTGCGAAACATACGTAATTAGAATAAAAATAATAAATACCTGTTCAAAAATGCGATTGTCTCCTTCTCCTCTCTCTCTCTCTCTCCCTCTCTCTTACTCTCTTCGTCATACGTGCGACGTTATTAGAAAGAATGCATGTTTCTTTGCACCGAAAGGCATCACTCACGAAGAAGTCGTTGACGCTTGCATTTCGGGTCGATGTTTTCATAGCCGGATAGTACGATCGCATGCACGCCGCGTAAAAGGAGGTCATGGTACAACCAAATAGCAATCATAATAATACGAGAACTATAAGTCTCTCCGTGTCTCCCTCCGGCCCCACTGGCTGATATTCTAAAACTTGAAATCTGTCTAGAGAGAAGAGCTTTGCGCGCGCTCACGTAACGACATCTAACGGCGGAGCAAGGAGTCGCGTGGATAATGCAGGTTCCTGCAACGATAGTATCGCACAGAACTTATGTAATGCGTTAATTTTGAGTAAAAGGTTTTGTTAATATTTTATAAAACGATTTTTCGGCTGGTCCACACCGACCGCATATTTTGGGTGTTGGTGTAACTTGTGTGTTGTTCGGCTGGTCGAATGGTGCAGTTCATTGCTGGTGCCGCGTATTCGTCTGAGTACACCGCATAGATGCATGTTGGGTGTACGCAAAGTGGCTAATCACAAATTAGTTGGAGCCAGTTGGTGTGGTCTCGTGTTCGGCTGATATACACTACCGTGGTCGAAATATCCGGTGCAACACCACATGAGTGTACGCACTGCACACACTTGCGCCAACTCTACACAGATGGCACACCGGTGCAGACCAGCCGAAATCGCTATTAAATTCGTTTTTTTTTTAAGTAAAGATATTAACAACAAACTTTTCGAAATAAAGGCAACGTATATATATATATATATATATGTTGTATTTGCATCAACTATTTTTTTCAACGATATTTATATTCACGATCGTGTATGGACAATTGGACATACAGAGAACAGCTTTACCATCAATCAAAAAGTTTGTTAGAAAAATGACCTACTAATAATAAGTAATTAACATCGTCCGGAGCAGAGAACATGACACGTTTTTTCAAACGCTAAGAAAACGTCAATATATTCGAAACTATATATACATATATATATTATTTCACATATATCGTATCAAAATTTCAAAAAACACGAGAAACTTGAGATTGTATAAAACCTAAACGTTGAAACAACAACAAATGCATTTGTCTTTATTACATACCATTTACATCTACAACAGTGACAGGAAATGACGCAAGGAAAAGAAGGTGATGGTGATATGTTGGGAGAAAGATGGAGTACATTTTCGACGAGATAAACCGCGGTCTTAATTGAAGATCCTCCGCGAGACGATCGACCACGAAGCAATGCAATGCAACGTGTTGCACGCGCCGCGCGATCGAGCTGCCTGATATCATCACGTCGTGTTGTCGCGGACGTGACAAATGCGAAGGTGCCGCGCCGACGGATGCAACTCGCCCGAGGAATGGCGGGGCACGGCCATGTTGAAAAACGTTCAAACGTCCGTTGCGCACGCATCCGCAACGAGCAAGCCGTAAATTAACACGCAAGATGCATGCCGGTCGTCGAAAGTGCAACGTTCGCCATCTAGCGGGGACCGATGCGAAGTAACGAGAACCGTCAATGTGGATTTTGCGCGGACAGTTGTCGCGCGCCGCCGCTAGATAACGCTCGCTGTCCACAAAATCACTTTGATTGACTCTCTGTGTTTATTTCGCTTCTTATCCACCAGCCAAATGGCGCGTGTCTGCACCGTTCGGCTGATGGGAGGCTCGAAGAGCGATATAAATTTTCGAAATAACAACTCGATGGTACATTTCTCAGGTGGGAGAAATTGAACGATCAAATTGCTTTATAAAACGTAACAATTGAAATATCAAACCGAACCTGTTCGAATCCCAAATATGTAACGACGTGAATTAAGGACACGGATATTTGTAGCACAAGTGCAAGTGTAGATATATATGTCATAAACATATATACATATCTATATAATTAGTATATATATATACATATGTATACATATATATATATTTGTTACATCTTAGAAAATACATCCAACTAGCGTTTAATAACTATGGATGTAAATAATTGACGCGTTATCGAACACCGCAACGACGTATGTACGTATCGTGTAATATCTGCCGCGTATAAATTTAAATTCGTTATTAGGATTGGTTGTGCGTTATGACGTCACAACGTTCCTTCCTATTTCTTTCGTTCTGCGCGTTCGCATTTCCGAGGATAATCGCGACAAATCAGACGACAAATGGGTCAAAATCCCGTAAGCAATTAACAGAACGAAATTTCCGAGAGCAATTTTACGAGCCGCGTTAGCGAAATTGTAATGTAAAAATTTACAGAATAGGTCTACTGATTGTCATATGACACGGCTAGGCGCTCGGCGCAACGAAACTCGGGAGTATGCTTGCCGCTGCGTACAGTCAGCGACAAAAATCACGCGCGGGCTGCGCTTAACAATCGGAAATTGAGTCGCGAAATACGCATTATTGCACCAGGGGCGTGATGAGAAACTTGTAGAGAAAAAAAAACTGACCCGATTTGGTGTATATAGTATCGGTTTTCGGGCCCGCGGTGAGAAGTTATGACGCGTTAAATGTGGTTTTTTCGGAAGTGGGATCGCATGGTGTCGTAAGCGGACTGTACTCGTGGACGCCACCAGCAGCCACGAGCGGCCGCTTGAGGTACAGTCTCTTCCGAAAGTGCGCCGCGTCATCCGCACGCGAACCACGAATTGGCACAATCGGATCACCGAATTACGCGTGGGGCGTCATGAGAAATATGTCGGGCGTAAAAAACTAACACGATTTGGTGTATATAGTATTCGTGTTTATGCACGCGTTCTCGAGTTATTCGCGATTCAATTTACTTAAGGTGCGCGCGTGTTGCACTTCCGCTGGCGCTGACTGTACAGACGGACGCTACGAGAGTCCGTAGCCCGCGTAGCCGGCGTAGACTCAGTTGCCAGCAGTACGCACACCGAGACGCATCTACTATGGCCGATATCTCGAAGGACGAACTCCGCAAGGAGATTACCGGTAAGTGGCGATATCGCGTAATATAGGCGATTACGGGGACGGTTTGGTGCGGAATCGAGCTCGGCTCGTTTGTACGCGTGTGTTTGCCGCGGCCACGCCATCGGGAATACAGGCGAAATCGGGGTCTTTGCTCTTGCGACGTGACGACTTAGGCGCGAACGTATTGCCCGAGTGGCGTGCCTCATGCCGGCCATTACAACTGGACTGTCTCGACGTATTTTGCCACCTACGTATCCGACTAACGACGGTGTCGGGCGAATATCTGGCTCGTGCAATCCGCTCTGGATTTTTGGATCAGCCACTTCGGTGTTCGGGCAAAAACTCGGATTTTTTGTCGTTCGCTATAAAAAGATTGCTTTCTTGTCCCGTCCTTGCGGCGGGCCGTATGTATGACGCGTCTCGAGAGTGTTGGTGGCGCGCGCCTATCAGCCTCACTCTTGCATTCGTTTCTCTCTCGCACGTCTGCTTCTCCGTTCCGTTTTCTTCGTCTCGCCAACTCGCGATTTCTCGGCATCGCGTCACGACAATTTTTTTGCGACGTGCGAATGATAAAAAAAAAATAAAAAATAAAGAGAAAATAAAAAAAAAAAAAAAAAGTTAAAAAGATAGAAGAATAAAAACAAAACAAGGAGTGTATTCCTACGCGAATCTCTCCTTCGAGAAAGATACGCTTGTTCGTCGTCGATCGCCGAATCGAGCGCGCGCGCGTCGCCCTTTTCCCTCCTTTGCGCGCGTATTGCCGATTGGATCGTCATTGGTTATATGACCGCCGCTGCCACCCGCACCACCGATCGTCGTCGTCGTTGTTGGCCGAGTGTGCGTGTGCTCGTTCACGTTCGAAGGATATTTACCATTTCGGTATCTCTTCAGCAAAGCGCCGTCTTTCGCCATTACATCGAATGAGGTAAAGAGCGAGAGAGAGATGACGACTCGCCCGTGCGCCAAAGCGGCGCTTGTTGATTAACAACGAAGCGCGCGCGCTTGATGCCGTCGCGCGCGCGTATTTTTTTCGGTAAGCGCTTTTCGGGCGAGCGCCGTGAATCGACCGAGTGCGCGCGCGCGCGGTATATCCCTTCTTCCGTCTCATGTTCCGTCTCGCTCGCTCTCTTTTTCCCTCTCATCTGTTCTTTCTTCTCCGTCGCGTCTTCTCGCGGTTTTCGATCGTTTCGGGAATCAATGCGCCGTACGATCGACCGCGGCACGCCGAGAAAAATCCCTCCGCGTCTCACTCCACGCGTTACATCCACGGCCTGGCGCGTACTTACAGATATCTTTTTGTTGGCAGTCGTGCCGGTCGGCGACGATCGGCACCGCGCGCGCCACAACGGCCATTTGCGCTCGATATTCACTAGATCCCCCAACGCGGGAAACCACATCACCCCAGACCCCGCGCGCCGTTTACACACGAGACACACTAGACGCGGGGTTTGCGCTTCAACGAACGGGAATGCGTCCTTTCGTTTTCGTACGCAAATGTTAGCTTCGCGCACACACGCCTAATGAGCTAAATATAATAAGTTAGCTACATTTTTCACAATATGCTCTTTAGAATGTTTTCCCTTCTCCGTTCAATATTGCGTAGCTTCAACAACAAGAATGTTAAAAAAAAACTCATAATTTTCTGAAGTATTAGAATAATGTAAGTTTCCTGTAAAATATAACAAAAATGATGTTATTGTTAATTGAAACAATATTATATGAAATAACAATCTCATGTTTGGTGTTAATTATCAATTTATAAAATAAAATAAATTTATCATTGCCTATGTTTGTTTCTATCAATTTCGTTTTACATGTTTGATAAAAAAAATACAAACTTCTTTACTGTACCTCTCTGTCTTGCATATTGATGATAATTTTGATTAATTGTTGTTTAGCTATTCTCAAAGATGCTGACCTTACTACAATGTCAGCTAAGAAAGTGAGGCAACAAATCGAGGAAAAACTTGATGTTGATCTTACAGAAAGGTAAGCAATATATAATTTTTATCTATTAACGATATATCATTTTATTTATGTCTCGTTATAAAAACTGCATCAAATATTCTGTAAATACAAAGATGGTAAATATTTACATTCAACATTCTTAACTAAGGTCTTTTATCAATTTGTGATTCATCACACACATACGTAATTGGTATATAGATTCTGTTGCAATATATTTAGCCGTGGTGCCACGTAGTACAAATTTTAATTTTTTATTGATCGCAAACATTTATATTATTACTCTTTGAAATTTATGCAAGAAATAATACGCCGGACATATAGGCACTTGTGCACTGTAAAATTGAGCAGAAGTGAGTCTCGTGATGTCCAAGAGTAAAACAGAGGAATCTCTGAGTGGAACTGAAGTAATAAATAGATATGTATATAAGTTACCACCTCGTTCCTCCTCTGACAAGCTTTCATCTCAGCTTACGCATTATTACCATTTTGATAACAGTTACATGCACACACTTACTCATAAATCGTGTTTTTCTCTTTGCAGGAAGAAAGAGGTCGATGATTTAGTAATGGAATGTCTTCAAGAGAAACAAGATGGAGGAAAGAAAAAGAAGAAGGCGGCTAGTGAAGAGTCTGAAGATGGTGAAGAGGAAGAGGAAGAAGGATCTGAAGAGGAAGAAGAAGAAGAAGAGAAAAAACCAGCAAAACGAAATCCTGGTAAAAAAACAACTAATAAACGCAAGAAGGGATCGTCTGATGATGAGGAAAGTGCTAGTGATGACGATGCTAGCGACGAAGAGTATAGTCCCAAAAAACCTAAAACTGCGCCCAAAAAAAGTAATAAATCTCAATGATAAGTTTAAATATAGTTAAACAAAATGATTTTTTCAGGCAAATTAAAAATCCTGCGCTCGCATTTGTCTTCTTGAAGATTTACATTTTAGTTTATACAAATAGGAAAAGAGAAATATATCGTGATACTTTACTGTAAGAAATACTGAGATATTTAGAACTGGATTAGCGTGTCATATTATGCTTTTTTTTGTAGACAAGCCTGGTAAGAAGGGAAAGAAGAAGGGAAGCGACAGTGACAGCGATGAAGACTGGGGCAAAAACAAAAAAGCTCCAGGAAGCACAGCGAAAAAGGGCGGTGGCAAAGGCAAAGGTGGTGGTGGTTACACGCGCGCTCTCACGCTATCTCCAGAACTTGCCGCAATTGTCGGTGCTGAACAAATGGCCCGACACGAAGTCGTAAGGAAAGTATGGAGCATCATCAAAGAAAGAAATTTATATGTAAGTATCATTCGTTTTATCTATCCAAATTTTATTTGTTTATTTTATTATCCTTATAAAAAAAAAAAAAAAAAAATGGATGTTTTATATTTTATTATACATTTTTCTATTCAAAAATATTCATTTGATAAAGTATAAATGTTATCACTGATATACTGGTTTTCAACAGGACCCAAAAAATAAGCAGTTCGCGATTTGCGATGAGGAATTAATGAAGGTGATCGGCGTAAAGCGTTTCAGAACTTTCGGTATGATGAAATACCTTAAAAATCACTTTGTAGATTAAATCCATTCTTCGATCCTCCCGATCTTCGACGAAGTATATATATTATTATATATATACCTGTATAACATATTCCAGGGTGCGTTTCGTGCACCTCCTCCATCTTTCTCACACGATACATACGTATTATATATACGTGTAATATATACATAAAAACACAAATGTATTTCTTGCGACTTAAGACTTTAGAACATATTTACACATCATTCCGATGTATTCTGTCGCCCATCGTAACCATATTTTGTTCTATCGGTTAGATTCTCTTTTTTTCTCAGCTTATATATGTTGATTCTGTATATTATAAAAATATGACCTCCAGCGATACGTTGGAAATAGAGGTTTTAAATAAATTGTAAAAATATCTGAAAGTTTTTATAGATTGCTTTGACACATTAATCGATTAACCTGTTGCGGTCTGCGGTACTTTCCTGATCCACGATGGATTCACATGCTTAATTCTTTTTTTTTTTTTTTTTGTACTAAAGTATAACAGAAGAAGAAAATCATTGCTAAACTATTTAAGATTTCAAAAAAAAAAAACTGAATATTGTTGCGAGATATCTATGTGAATGTAATCTTTATTTTTAATTTGTTATATATACGCAGGTGAGAATAAATAACAAGAAATGTACAGGAAAATCAGAAAGTTTTTCAGACAAAACTCTCTACCGGCATTACTGTTTTCTCATTTACTAGATCTGAAAACACTCAATATTTCTAATTGAACGCGTTGTATGTAGAATTTCGTGCAGTATAACACAATCTTAACTTACGAGTACTTTAACTTAATATAATACAATCTTTTTTAATAATACAATTCCAAACATGGAATATCTAAGAGAACAATTTATTAAATAATTTTAGATCTAATAAATGTGAGACTATTAATGCCGAATTTTGTATAGAGGTAACAAAGAAATACTGCGAACTTGAAATCTTTCTTTCGATTTTGATATTTAATCTTGGAAAGGATGTTTCTTTTTCATACAACTCTTAGAGGTAGAAAAGAAAATTTGTGACATAGTTGAAACAATCCTATCATGGTCCAAAAATTAAATTTGCTTTGCACGTTGAATTATGATTAGTCATTGGAAGTATAATATAAGAAATAAAAATAGTTCTGAAATCTCAGCAGCGCATGTCCTCGTCGAGAAACTAGTCGGAGCAAAGTTTTCGAGATACTTGAGGACCGCAAAGGGTTAATTGTTACTATGGACGTACAGATGATTTGGAAATGTGAATGGACAATTGCAGTGGCCAATAGTTAATAAACCGATTTTTAAGTTAAATTGAGCATAAACGTTATATCATTTAAAACGTTATATCATGGTTGTCATTAATAACAATTTATTTTATTCCAAACACAATGATGGCGGTAACACACAATCGAAACTAGAAAAAATATTGACTGTTGTAAGGATCATCGGTGACCAGCGCTTCTAAACTCCATAAAAAAAAAACAAAAAAAAAAAAAAACAAAAAAAAAATGCATACAATTGACCAGTGATATTTTTAACTGATAATATGTGCATTCCTACGCCATGGAAGTCGTTACTGGTGACCGGCAGTCAGATACTCTATGCTAATGTTACGTTCAGTTGTATTATTTTTTTTCCAGCAGTAAAAAATTTTTTATTTTTGGCGTAGATGAAAAGACAAAATATTCAAGTCTGATAGTTAACACATTAAGTGGACACGTAAATTTTTCTTTGAAAACTTGTAGAATTTTTAAGGTAAACACTATCATATGTTTCAATTATTTTCTAGTAAGTAAAGTATACTTTTGTTTTATATTATAATATTTGTAATTATAATATATATTTAGTACTTTTACTAATAATATATTATTATATAATATATAGCATGTATTATTATATAACAATTATATAATATTATATTATTTTTAAAAATATTTTAAAGAAAAGCAAAACAATGTATAAACATGTTTCAAAAATGATGGGAAAATATTTTGTTTTGTTTTTTAAAGTAAAAACAAAAGTAACGTACGTGATGAAACGTGATTTAAAGGAAGGGATTCCGGTCTTAGAGCGTCGAAAACAAAATTTTTTTGAAGTTAAGAAGATATTGAAATGAGGTTTGAAGTATTATAGGTTTATTAATGTTTCACTTGTTTGATTAAAAAATTGTAAGCTAATTTTTTGAAGTCATTCAGCATAAAGATCAAAATTAACTAAATTTGTTGGAGTGCAAACCGAAGTTTAACTACATATATCACTTCAAACCTGTATATAAGGTCTTGTTACTTCCAAGTTTCGAAAAGTTGCTTCACAGACATTCTAGACTAATGATACGAAAAATGTAAAAAAACATTGATGTTTTTTTATATCTGATAAACCGGAATCCCATTTTAATACTGGTGGAACAGTTATCGTATTTTATTTCGTGATATTTTGATATACAAGAGGCAATTGATGAGTATCAACGCAGATAGCGACAATAGTATTACATTGCTGTTGTTTGACAAGTTTCTTTCAAAAAAGAAATGTGAAATTATCATTTGTGACAGCTCGCTAGAGTGATTCTTGTAAACATGGAGAGAATCGAGGTTCGTGTCATCAAATTCTGTGTTTTAAGAGAAAAACCAACGGCTCTCACACTTCAACTATCGCGTATTGAAAAATTAAATATTTTCAATTCGACAAATTGTTTATTTTTTTGTTTCGGATACTTATCAAATCGCTCCTTGTATTTATTACGTAAAAACGAGTTGCTTTCATTTATACTTAATTGAAGAATTTTTTGACAAATGCAAAACACAAGATAGTTTGCCTGTTTTATATTGAAAAAAAAAAAAAAAAAGATCTTGAATATATACTTGGAAACTGACTAGGTGACAGAAGTTTGTCTCTAGAATGGAGAGAACTGTATGGCGAAGTTTGAAAGAAGTGCAGAAAAATTTCAAAGAAAAAGAAGCTACAGAAAAATCAACATCCTGTACCTCTTCTGTATAATAGCTACATTATACACATGAGAAAATATGTAAGCAAAGTTTAATTGTATTATCGTGTAATTACTAATTATTGTCGTAAATATAGATTTCTCGATGTAAAAAATTGAATCTAACGTTTAAGATTTAATGGTAAAAAGTAACGTATTTACTGGAAGATACGGTAGCATATTAAAGTCATTGCATTATACAGCGATCACTGTATGTAAGTTGAAGTGTAGGAAACTAAACTAAATAGGCTCACAGAGCGAGGTGCGGATTCCTAATATGTCTGTCCGAGCTTCGGCATGTGTAAAGTTTGTGTGTATTTTGCATATATAAATTTAAATAAGGATGTTGGCCTAAGTCAGGTAAAAGCCACACAGTTACGGAGTCACTACAATCTGCGGCTGCATATATATATATATATATATACATATATATATATGTGTGTGCGCACAGAACGACGAATTACGATGCCAATTGGTTTCCTAAGACAGAAGACGAATGATTTTGAAACTAAACTGTTTTGTGAAATGTATTTGGAATTATCGTGTATCATTAAAAAATATTGCTTTCAGTTTTTTTACATTGTGCGTTGATTCATTGTAGTGTTTTCCTCTGGCACGTACGTACTCCTTCTCGAACATGATCCAATATGTAATCCTTTAGTACACATTCCAGTATATATTCTCCAAACAAATATTATAATTAATTGTATATAAAAATTAAACATTTTATAATAGTGTGTGTTTATATAGATTATATTTATAATGTACACGTTAAAAAAAATTTTATATCACAATTGACATCGTAAAAATATCGCATATTCAATCGTATTATTTGATCTAAATTTCACAAATGTTCAAGTTCGTCTTCCAAAAATGATAAAACATGCTGGTTATCATCCCGCCTGCCTCGCAATCCAAATATAAATGTCTTCAGATTCTTTGTGTTTGTAGACTTATCTCTTCTGGTTTGAACTCCCTTATCCTGAAACGTGGCTGTCTGCACGTAAACACCATGTTGGAAATGCGAGTTCAACGTCTGCGTGCCACGTGTAGCGCACCGACTTATTCTTGCCTATGAAATTGATCATACGTGAAATTACTTATATTCTTATCCACGGAATCATCCATAAAGGTTCACACCGCACAGCAACAGTACGTTATTACGTCAACTTTATAATAAAATATTAAATTACTGGTTTTAATATTGTGTTAATTTTATATCATGTTTTTGATGTGTTTCAAAATAATAATATATTTAATTAACTATATTAAAATGTATAATGGAAACATTTAGCGTATATTCCGAATATATTAATATATATTAATGTGTATATATATATATATACACATAAATATATATATATTATACATCCCAGTAAACAATTTGTTCGCAATTTGCCAGCAAATTGTCATCAATTTTAAGCAAGAATACTCAGCAAATTGGCATCAACTGTGTCCGCATTGGGCTTCGATTTTGTTGCCAAAGCTTGTCGACAAAAAGTAACAGCAAATTGGCTAGTAAAAACCGAGCAAAGCTTGATACATATTGAAACATATTTTGGTCTGAGACCAAATTGACGCCAAAATATGAAGCAAGATCTGCGCAACACGACATAACTTTGCTTGGTTTTTGCCAGCAAGTTGCTGTTATGTTTTGTCAACAAGCTTGAATATATTTTTGCTAGCAATTGTGCAACATTGCCAGACAAAACAAACTCTGCATCGTATTTGATGTCTTTCTGCTAATAAAAATTTGTAACAAGCATTTGGCAAAATCTGTTTCGACAGATTTGGTTATCTGGGATATTAATACATATGTTATCAATTGAATTTTTTGTTTACAATTAACTCACCAAGTGTAATGCTCGTCGCTTTAGTTCCCATATACTAGACGTGTAATCTTTATCGATGTGAGGCGGAAGTATGTGAACGTCCGTTTGAACTTTTTGATTATGACGCACTTTTAATTGAAGTCCTTTTTCGGTCAACCTTTAAAAAAACATTAAGTTCTTATTATAATTTTGCAGATAAACAACGTGAAAAAAAAACGTGGACCATTGGCTCTTTGAGTCATTTCCTTTTTTATTTGAATCGCCGAGCCGTATTAAAAAAATCGATCAACTTACTCTTCCTGGCTTTGCATAGCCTTGATTTCCTCTTGCAATTGAAACAGATGAATGTACTCCGGATGATCGCGAACAAAATCGAGCGCCTCATAAACATGCCTGTTAACAAACAACACACGCACGGTATGCAGTTTATTTACCAGGATTTTAATCACGCAAAAAATACCTGTCGGGATTTTCGCCGAATTTGGATGCTGCTTCAGGTGATGTAAAAGCGTAATATTTTCCTCTCCATTTTGCCACACCGTTATTCGGGTTTCCCGGTATCAGTGCTCCCTTGCCTTTAGCGAATGTCCACGCGCAAAATCCTAAGAACTAATATTCAAAGACGCGCGCGGTTTACAGTTTACATTTTTAAGTTTCATAAAAAATTTTTATAAAAACAAAATTAAGCGCAATCGCGCGATCTACCTCCAAAGTAATTTTTTCAAAATTGGTGACGTTTGGATAATAAATCAAGCACTCCCCGCATTCCGCTGCGAATATAAAATTAATACATCTTATAATAAACATTCGACGAGATAAGAAAGATTGGAAGAAAACTTGGTCGCGCGAGTTTAACACTTTTTCGTAATTTTTGAAAAATCAAATAATACTTATTAAATTGCCCATGGTACGTTCCAATCTTTCAGCATCGGTCAAAATCTCCACATCCCGAGCTATGTCATCTAATTTCGACTGATCGTAGACGTTCAGACTCTGACGAGAATAATAATATTTTTGAATTGTGTATTTTTCAAAAACCATTACGTTAATTAAATCGACAATCGGATGTGAATTTTATGATAAATACCTTATTGCTCAAACTCTGTAATTCCCATAGAAAGTTGTTAATGCTGCTCAGGATGATCACTTCATCTTGAAAGCCCATCCATATATCCGCTAGATCAATAAATTGCGGCTGACAGGCAGATACACATTATTATTCATACCATGATTGTTTAATTGTGATTCGCTATTTTAATTGAAGAAAAATTTGAAATGCTAATTACGCGTCGGTAATTAACATCTTTCTCTTCCTAATTATTATACGTTATACTTTGTTAACAATATTTACATAAACTTGAGCGGTGGGAACAGCCGTTCTGTATCGAACGGTATTGTGCAGCTTGTAGAGACGTTCCCGAAGACGTTCCTTTAGATTTTTCACTTCGTTCTCGCTGCGTTCTACGTCGCTCAGTAACTTCCTGCAATAATATTGTATTAGAAATCTCACATGCCAGTCGCATACCAAACGACACAATTGGCAATTTAAAAGGAAACCTAATGTAGATCTCTTGCTGACGACTGGCCGTTAACATTTCAATGGCCCATTCGATCTTCTCTTCCAAGTCGGACGCGATTCCTTTCGGAATGTCACGCACAATGTTCGGAATGTCGGTCGCGCATGTAATCGCATTTTCTACAACGGCTGTGAACTTGTACACTTTGGCCATTAAAGGTTCCAACAACTCCACAATGGAGTTGCGGGTTTTTGGTAGAGCCTCTTGTAGAACGCTCGGAACTGGAAAGATTTATTAATAGCAAGCAACAAAACTTGTATAAGTGTGTTTCTACGTTTAAAAAACAAATATGTTCACTTAGATTAACAATCTTATTCTATAGATTCTTACGATCGTCAATGCCTTCGCCTCCGCGTTGACAGTCTCTGTTGAACAATCGAATCCCCGCAACTATGCACATCAGCTCCATTAATTGTTCCTCTTTGTCTCGTTTCGGCAAAGTTACGAATTGAACCAATTCGGAAGCCTGAAAAATGCTCTGCAACGCCACCGAAACTTCTCTGATAAAAAAAAAAAAACAAATTTTCTTCGTAACACACGTCGCATATTCTTCGTCGAAAAAGTGTTTATATACAAGAAATAGTACACTGCTTATAAAATATTTATAAAAATTGTCTAATATTACTATCTTGAATGTGATTATTAATATTCAATATATACACGGAAAAAAAAAATAGTTTCTACCACAGCTAATTACGGTTTGCTGAAACTGAATTTGCTGCTGTAGCTATAAAATTTTTCCTATTAGAAACAGTTTGCTCTGATATTCCTAAATATGTCGACATAATAGCAAAATATGTATGTCTTGTAGCACCAAGAGCTTAGGTGTCCATACACCGAAAAAATTGTATTCTTGTTTCGAGGATATCCCACTTACTTTAAGTATATTTTATACTAAAATAGGCGCCAAGAAGAGTTTTTTATTTTAAGAAAATCCTGTAAATAGTAATATTGATAAGAATATATACTGATTAGAATATAAAAAGTCTCTATAGAAAAACATATATATCTCACTATCGAAAAAGACTATATTCTTAAATAAAGAATATATTCTTAAATAAAGAATATATTCTTAATTTCAGAAGAATATCGTCTAAAATCTTTAAGATTTTTTAAGTATAAAATCTTCTACTTACGAGAATATAATTTTTTCGGTGTAATACTAACCAAAATTTAGGAACCAAACCTAATTTTGTTAGCTGTGAGAGCTAACTTTTTTTTTTCCGTGTATAAGAGGTTGCAAGTATACTTCAGAACTGCGGGCACAGAAGGACTGCCCAGACCACTCAGGAGAGTAATAACTGCCAATATCTTCTGATACAATCTTTCCACGTCTTTCTTACATTTCTCCAATTTCGTAGTTTCGCAAATCTCCGTGATTAACGGGACAGTTTTTTTGTGCAATCGCAATCGATGCCTCTTGACAGTTTCATCTGAACGAAATATATTATTATGTATTTGCAGTTTACGTGAAAAAAAATATCGTTTTAAAAATTAAGTATATTTTATACTTTTACCTCTTTCGTGATAGTGTTTGGAGAAGTACAGCTGATTTTTCAGAACAACCAGACTAGGTCTGTTTTGGTCACACAATCTCTCCGTTATAGCTTGTATTATATTTGCGTTATTCTCCTCATCGGTTTCTTTTATACGATATTTTGGGTTCAATTGATAAAGAGAAAACTAGATTTTTTGAAAGAAAAACGAAACATAAATATTGCGTCTTGACAAAAAAAAAAAAACACGCATTAGAATAATATTCAATGTCAAATTACCACAAACGAAGCTAAATCTTTGGTCACTGGAGTTCCTTTCGTTTTACATTCGTTTACGATTATTCTTGTCAATTCTTTTGGCACGTTTTCCATTATAATAGATGAGACAAACAATCGCACTTTCTTCAAAGAATTGACTTTCGGAAATTTCACCTGCACGATTATGGTTCAAGCAAAACCATCTGTTTGTTATGTTTGATCGATACTCGCGTTAGAACCACCTATCGCCACACCGATATGTCTGAACATTTTTTTTTTTAAATCTATTACTTCGAAAATAAATTGATAAGTCTCGCAATAAGCATATATTGACAGATAAAATAAATAAAATCCCGTTCGAGATACAGATAAATCGATTAAATTCTGTTACTTACTTCATTAATTGAAAAAACATTTACAAATTATTCATTAATTTTATTTAATCTTATTTTTTATACAAGTAAATTGAATAAATGTACTTTTATTTTACATTATATACTTAAATTACTAAACACGCAGTTTTATTTATAAAATAAAAATAAAAATACAAATTTATCAAGATCACAAAACTTAAATCTCAAATTCTCAAATTTTTACTTTCTACATCAAAAACACTGTTACACAAATAAAATATTCCAAAAATGTGTACTACTAAAATTTTCTTATCGACGATCAAAATATATAGATGTTCGGTTGACAGACGACTCACATCAAATCTACATCTACATACTACTTTTTGTTTGTATCTTAAAATTATTGTACAAAATTTAAACCGTATATCTATAGAATAAAAAACTTTTTTAAAACATTTATTGCAGAAAGTAAATTATAAAAATTATACGTAAAAAATCGGAAACAGTTTTTTGTAATCTGCGCTGTGCTTTGTATATGTAACTCTTAATGTAAAGATCTTTCTACACAGACTTTGTTTAGATTTATTCTGAGAATTTTACATAATATAGAATATAATCAGACATTCAGACAAAAATTTGAAAAATTGTTTAAACAAATAAATAATTACGATGTGAGTGCAAGTTGCCAATAGAAGTAACTAATGACATATCTTCTTTTTACATGCGGACATTCGCCGACGTTTATCTAAGCGTGTACGATATAATTACTGTTAATAATAATAGTCACTATTGTTTTTTCTATATGAAGATGTTATTCCGTAAAGTTTTGACTATTACGTCTACGTCTCTTTTTACGATTACATAAAATCTTCCGACACTACAAGATTTCGTATTTACATGAATAGTCTTACATATACTTTTAGATGTCGTTGAAATCAGCAACTTCGTTTATATTTAATAAATTTGGATTCACTAATGTGAACTGAGTCAAATAACTATATTTATTTCATGATACTTGTTGTAGAATAAGAGTTAATATTGCGGTTAATGCCAGCAATAAATATTAAGCTTTACTATGTGCGATGTCAAAGTGTATGTATCAAAAATTATATATGCTATAAATATATATTGTATGTATATATGTGTGTGTGTGTGTGTGTGTATATATATATATATACATATATATATATATATAAT